GCTAATCGATTAGATGGATTTTTATCGGTAAATACCAGTAAGTTAATCAGTAACCAAAGGGAACTGGAGGATACTAATTCCCAGCCAAAATGTAGGAACCCTCATCCTCCTTCTCCTCTCCTTCCGACCCCTCAAGCAGCTTATCCTTCACCCCTCTACATTATTATTCCGAACCCTAGAGTGGTAGTCAACAGCAGAGACACAACTCAACAGTAGCCCCAACCTCTGGTGGCCAAATTGCAGTAGACGCTGCCACAGTAGAAGCCGCAGGACCAGGCTGCCAACAGGCAGTAGAACAAGCAGCAACTCTAGCTTCTATCCTATGTTAATTGAGAAATGCGAAAATGCATTCGTAAAACTTGAGAATCTTAACTTATATTGTGGTTGTTTTATAGCAAATTTTTGTCACATAGGATTTAGTATGATCAATAAATTTTCATGTTATTTTAATAAATTTTCATGTGATCATATAATCATCGTCACTAATATAGTAATATTTGAACTTGCAACCAATGAGTTAAAATCATTAGAATGGCTTACACATTTAACCAATAGGCTAAGTTGTATTTCATGATAAGCGCAATAAGATTAGTAATCATGTTATGAAATGAAATTGAAATCTAGCATCTTATCATGATCTTTTTACATTATTAGTTAACCTCATGCTCCGATTGACTTTAGTTTCTACATAAATTATACTAATAAAATTTTATGAATAAGTAGCTCTAAAACATCTATAATATAAGTTAAGCAGTATCACCATAATAGAACGCATTTCTAATGTGTAAGAATATTGTATAGTTTTGTGAAATTTATCACCATAATAGACAGTATATAATTAACGTATTGTCTAAATCAATCAAATTCGACATCCCTCACTTATTTATGATTTGCTTTTTATTTTTTGGCACTAACACTTTCTTTCCCGGCCTCCCTGCATACTTATTAAAAACTATGTATTTACCTCTTTATTAATGCGATTTTGTTTACTTAATTTTTTCTTTTTGTTGACATAATTCATGGATCCATTCAATTTATCAATTACATTGTATCTTCTTCTTTTTAAGTTAAATTTCAAAAAGGTTGTAAACAAAAAATGAATCATAACTATGATAAAAAAATAATATCAATTTTGATATTTTTTTATTAAAATATTTTTCAATCATGTCTACCACTAGGGTATATGATGCCACCTTCAACATTTTTTTTTAATTAGAAAATGAGAGTAAATGTCATTTTGTGTAGTATTATTAATTCAATACGCAAACAAATATGAAACTCAAGTTGAAATGAATGAGATATAGACAAAAGGTAATGAGAAAAGGGTTTACGCATTATGTATATACTTAAGGTTATGCAGCTTGCATTTTTTAAGAATAATTCAATTACCTTTTTATGGATTTCGACTTCTCTCACCTTACTACGATCCATAAAATATTAATTTCTTCTAGCATTTTGTTCCAACAAACATCACCCCTTTTTATAGGCATCTATATTTTGACTTTATTCAAGTCTCTATGTTTCACAGGTTTCTAGTAAAAAAAAAGTCTCTGTGTTTCATGAATTCTTTAGAATACTGTGGGAAACACAATTATTTGCAGTTTTTGGTTATTTCGTATTAGAGTCGGTTTTTATTGATTGGGGTATTATTTGGGTATTTGGGGGAATAAACAGGGAGTTACTTGTTACGTTTTATTATTCGGGTAGCAGTTAGGAATTAGACAGGTTATATAATCTGTAATAGGGTCTTATTTTGAGAGGAAGCAATAACAGAACCAAAAACCTAAAGCCTAATTCTCTCTTCTCTCTCTCTCTCCTGCGTATCCTCCCTCTCTCTTTCTTCTCCAAAGCTGCGGCTGCAGCACCCCCTTTTCCCTCTTCTTGTTCTCAAAATCCCCAATTCTAATCCCTAGTTAGATCAATCCCTAATTGATCTAGCTAAATTTCCCAATTCCCAACCTGTAGGAAATCTTGTTTCCTACATCTGGTATCAGAGCCTGGCTCGAGAGTGAGTTCATCTGAACTCTTGAACCAGGGAAGGCAACGATGGTGACAACGAAATCGATGAAGGCGGCGGAGGAGAAGGCGCAGGCAGCCGAGAGGAGCACCGGAACGGGCGGTGTTGATCGCGACGAGGTGGTGATGGAGGATCTTACCGAGCTGGAGGCGGTGAAGGAGGTGGTGCACGAGCACTCTGATGCGCTAGCCAAGCTCGAAGAAGGCCTGGCAAGAGTGCAGGCTGAGGCGAAGGAGGATGCTGACGATCTGCGGCGTAGGCTGGAGGACCTGATGAGGGCAATCACCTCGCTGCAGGCAAGGGGAGGCGAACCAGAGAGGGCGCCGAAACCGGTCGAGATGGCGAACGAAGGGGGCGGCGGCCTGGGAGCGGCGGAGGCGGCTGTTGGAGGCGGGGCAACCGCTGCGGCGGCGCTGGCGGCGCCGACGAGTGCTGCGGCGACGGAGGGCGGGGCGAGCAGCGGGCCAGGTGGCGGGGCGATCCCGGGGGGGTCGGCGGCTCGGGCTACCGTGCCAGTCGAGAGGGCCGAAGGGAGCAGGGCGGCGGACGCTGGGTCGGGCCGGGCTGGCCGGCCTGCATTAGGGCTGGGATCAGGCTCGGGCCTGTTACCTACACCCACGGCCCAAGAAATTGCGGCCCGCAAGGGAAAGGCTAAGATGGCTGGGTATGACACCGATGGGCCTCCTATGAATGGTGGGCCGGGCCAGCTGGGTCACTACACAAGGGTCCATAACGGGCTGGGATGGCTGGATCTGGAAGGTGGGCCTGAGTATGACCAACTAAGCTTGGCGGGCCAGCAGGCCCAGTGGGCTGAACAGGAGATGAGCCAGAGGGGGCCTGGTGGGCCGAATAAGCCCGCTGACCAGATGGGGCCGGGCGGGTCGGCTCCTATTGGGCCGGGACAGGCGGACGGGTTAGGAGGGGGACGGACCGAACCGGAGCGAACCGGGATTGGTCGGACCAGTGCTGATCGGACCGAGCTGAGCCGAACCGGACCGGGGCGGACCGGGATGGGTCGACCCGAGGTGGGTCGAACCGGGCATCGACCGAGTCCAACCGCTCAGCCGAACCGGAGGGCGGACAGCAGGGGTCCAGGAGGAGGAGAGGGCCCATATGAGGCGCCACATGTCCCAGGGGGATACCCGAATCAGCCGGGCTACTATCCGGGTGACTATGGACACGGAAATCCTAACCAGATGCAGTGCTCTCAGTGGGGGCAGCCATGGAGGACACCAGGAAATGACAGGTATGGGTCCCAGTATCCGAACTATGAGGGAATGGATGGGATAGTCTTTCGAGCTAAGCCTCCTACCATTGAGTTTCCCAAATTCAATGGGCAGGAGGATGCAGGTCTTTGGTTGTATGCAGTTGAGAGGTGGTTTAAGAATCACCCAATTCCGGAGGAGAGGAAAGCCTACCTGGCATCGTTCTATCTGGAGGGCGATGCGCTCCAGTGGTGGGAGTGGATGGAGAGATCCTATGCAGCAGCAGCAACCTTGATCACCTGGCCCATGTTTCAGGAGGAGCTCCGTTATCAGTTTGGGAAGTCAGATGGGTGGGCTCCTGAGCAGTTGGCAAAGCTGAAGCAGACCGGCACAGTGGCAGAGTACCGGGCGGAGTTCTTCAAGTTGGGGAACCAGTGCAAGGGAGTCTCGGAGGACACCTTGGTGGGGCTGTGCATGGCGGGTCTCAAACCCGAGATAGCTGCGGCAGTCAGGGTGTTTGAGCCCGATTCCGTGAAAACTGCTTTTCGTCTTGCAGGTCACAAGGAGGAAGAACTGGCTAGCTGGAGAAGCACCATTGGCCGCTTCTCAAAGCCAAGCGGAGGAGGAGGAAGCAGCAGTGCTAGTGGCGGCATAGGTGGGGCACCCGGGGGAGGCTCGACTGGGGCCAATGCGGGCGGTGGAGGACCAGCTCCGGTGGCCAGGGTGGGGCAGCGGGCCATACCGAAGGGATTCGTGCGACTGACGCCGGCAGAGATTGAGCAAAAGAGGCGGGAGGGCAAGTGCTTCAACTGTGATGGCCGGTTCACCATTGGTCATCAGTGCCCGAAGCCGGATTTGATGATGCTGGTTGGGCGTTGGGAAGATGAAGCAGAGGAAGAAGCTGAGGATGAAGGAAATGGAGAGGAAGATGCCTAGTGAGCTGGAGGAACAACCTTGGGGACAAGGTTGTTTTTCGAAGGAAGAGGGGATGTGGGAAACACAATTATTTGCAGTTTTTGGTTATTTCGTATTAGAGTCGGTTTTTATTGATTGGGGTATTATTTGGGTATTTGGGGGAATAAACAGGGAGTTACTTGTTACGTTTTATTATTCGGGTAGCAGTTAGGAATTAGACAGGTTATATAATCTGTAATAGGGTCTTATTTTGAGAGGAAGCAATAACAGAACCAAAAACCTAAAGCCTAATTCTCTCTTCTCTCTCTCTCTCCTGCGTATCCTCCCTCTCTCTTTCTTCTCCAAAGCTGCGGCTGCAGCACCCCCTTTTCCCTCTTCTTGTTCTCAAAATCCCCAATTCTAATCCCTAGTTAGATCAATCCCTAATTGATCTAGCTAAATTTCCCAATTCCCAACCTGTAGGAAATCTTGTTTCCTACAAATACCATTACACTCGGCTTTTTTATTCTACTTCATTGATGGCCTCAGAATGATTGACCAACTATGGACACAAGATATTTGTACTTCAACTTAGCTCAAATCATTATCATTATGAAATTCATTCGACATAGCTAGCTCATTCAACTTACCTATGATTTTAAACGTTCTATTCTGAGTATACGTGTATTCTGAGTATATGTGTATTCTGCAGAATACAACGTTTTTTTACTTGTTTTAATCACATAATGCATGTACAGAGAGTGCATGATGTATTTCTTTATAAGACATTAAAAATTATGTATACTTAATATTACCTTTTTTTATGTATAATCCATGTATTCTTCTATGTTTTCCAAACAAAACTAAACCCACACATTCTTCATACACATTCTTCATACACGCATAATCTTAATATACATATTCTTGTAATACACCATTTTCAGAATATAAAACGTTGACATCTAGTATTGAATTTAATTTTTTTTTTTTCCTACAATTTTCCATGTGAGCATGTGTCATTGCAGAATGACCCCTTATTTGTTAAACTCTAACTAATGGCAGGACCAATGTGAGTACACAATCTCTTTCTAAACTTTCAATATTCAATGCTCCAAGGACAACATAGACTCTGAAGCTCCCACTTCTGCTCCCGCTCTGGAAGTAGTGTCATCAGCAACTCCTGGGAACCCCACAATGAACCGTGAGGCTAGTCCCTTTTTTTTTTTGACAATAATGATCAACTTTTATTCCACTTCCAACTCGAAAAAAGCGAGAATACACTTTATCAAAGGAAATCCAAAATTAGGTCAAGAATACTAATCCAGTCTACAGGGAGGGAGGATCTAGCAAGTGATCGTGGAACCCAATCAGCTCTAACATTAAAAGCACGAGAAACTGCCTTGACCTTCACTTGAGGGTTCGTTCTTAGGATTGAGACCATAGATCCAATCCAGGCTGCACCTCGCCACATTTGCCAAATACTTTAGATCATCATTATCCCCATGTCTAGGAGCCGTAACCCATCCTTGTTCACCTTGGTGCCTTAGTCGATCTCTTGCATCCCTCTATATCCAGCTCCCTCAATTTCTTGAAACCAGAGAGATTTCTCAACTCTTTTATTGACGTGCAACATACATGAACAACTTTGTCAATGACTCCAACCCCTCGATTCCTTTGAACTCAGCAGTGTGTTATGCAGTGACAGTTCCAATTCCTCCGAAATCTTGCAGCTGGATAAGTTTGGCAGCTCCTTAATGGACCAACAATCACACATCCGTCGCAACCGCAACGACTCCAATCTGCCATTCTCGGTGAAGGCATTGATCAAGCTTGTGCAATCTGTAAGCAGGGAAAGAGGATGGCTTATTTCAAAATATACATAATTGAAAAATGTAGATTTTTTTTTTTTTTTTTGGTATAACAAAGGATTTGCGCTCCTTTATCTCTCTCGGCTCTAGAGAAAGGAGCAGATTCAGAGCTTCTCAGCTTGATAATTTTTTGTTTTACTACAGCAGAAATGGAAGAAGTCGAAGAGAATAAAAAAAAAATAGAAAACATAGAAACAAGTGTTACAAATAGACTCATACCATCCACCACATCATATTGGAACAAAGTCTCCAGCGGACTCACCCATATATGGCTTTACCAAAATAGAACAGGAGGGAGAGAGGTCCTTCCGCCATCACCAGTTGCTGAGAGACCCGGAAAGCAGTCCCTTGCCATATCTCGCAGCCGACTTCGCCAAGTACTTCACTCTCATTCTTTTCCCCATATCCATGTACCGTAACCCATCCAGCTCCTCAAGCCCATTCACCTTGGTCAATTTTGTGCATCCCTCAATATCAAGTAACTCCAATTTCTTGAGACCAGACAGGTTTCCCAACGCCTTTATTGACCTGCAATTACCCATCTGCAGTATTGTTAATGACTCCAATCCCTCCACCCCCTGGACCTCAGTCAAGGCTGTGCATTTGCTAAGATTCAACAGCTCCAAATTCTTCAAGCCCGATAAGTTTGGCAGCTTCGTAATCGAATTGCAGTCATGTATCTCTATCTCCCGCAAAGACTCCAATCTCTCGATGCCCGTGAGATTAATCAGGCTGTCGCAAAATCTGATGTTCAATGTTTTGAGATTCCCGTGCCCAGACAGATCAGGCAGATTTCGAATGGAGTTGCATTCTTTCATAGTAAACCGTTCTAGAGACATCAATCTCTCAAATCCTGTAAGCTCTGTTAACTCCAGACAGCAGCGCAGTTTCAACTGCTTGAGATTAAAGAGGCCAGAGAGATCCGGAAATGATTCCTTGCCATGGAGACAAAACGATTGTTCCTGAAAAGTAAGATACTCCAATGCTCCCAGAAGTTGAAGTCCATCATAGTTGGCCAAGCTAGGACATCCTCCGATTAACAGACGGGATAAAGACTCCCCAAGGCCACCCAGACCTTGAATTTCTACGAGAACCGGGCACTCGTAAACCACCAATAACTTCAGCTTGATCAAATTCATTACACTCGGCAATCTCTCTAGCGCAGAGCACGTTCCCACGTACAGGTTCTTGAGGAAAATCAGATTCTCAAGTCCGTGGAGGTTGATCAGATTCGGGGAATAGGATATCACCAGTGTCTCCAGCACCCGAAGCTCTCCCAGGCCCAGGATTTCGACCACCCCGATATGCATGAGTGTGAGTTGGGTAAGATTGCGCAGATTTGCTAGGCTGGGGAGCTCATTCAAAAGGCCTCCAGCCATCGGAGTAAATACCTCGATATAATCGCACAACAGCCATAAGTCTTCAGGGATACAAGGAATATTACCTCTGAGGTAGCTCAGGGACTCCAACTCCGTGAGCTCTAACAGATTTGGAACTGTAGATGGAGGTGAAATGGTTAACCTCTTTATACTCCTCGGGAGCCTGGGTATCTCCTTCATCAGGAACTCCCAGGATTTTCCTGATTCCAACAGTAGGCTTTTGAGAGAGGGTAAGTTTTCCATCCCAGCAGGCAATTCTCTCAAACAGGTGGACGTCAAGTCCAGCTCCTCTAGTCGTCGAAACTTTCCAATATCATTTCCCCTAATGATTAACTCAGTTATATTGGTCCAACGAAGACTCAGCCTTTTCAAATTCTTGAAAGTACCAATGTGCAGTTCTCCTTCCATATGGCGACAAGACCCAAAATTTATGAACTCCAAACTTGTGCATGTGGACAAGTCGGGTGCTTTTCTCAGCCGAGAACACTGGGGTAAATTTACAGCTTTCAGCTTCGCTGCTGCCTATGGATCATAATACAACCATTACAATAAGAAATGATACATAGTCATTTTGTATGTGCCCGTAATCGATCCATACACAACAATGTATGGAAAAAACTAAAGAGGAAATAGAATTTACCTTTATTCGATTCCAGCCCCTCCAATTATCTTTCACATTGCATTCCTTCAAATCAAGAACTACCAATTTCTTCATGTAGATATCAGATGGGATTGAGTCACAATGTGGCAATCGAAGGCAACATAAATTTGGAAGAACCTGGCTGAAATCCCCCATTATGCTTCCATATCGCACCTCCAGGTACCGTAAACCTGATAAATCCTTAAAATCCACGCTTTTAAGTTCTTTTTCATGTTCTCTAGATTTGACATCCACTCTAAGAACTTCTACCCGTTCAGTTCCCTGGAAACAGTACAAGAAAAGAAACTAGTCATTACACATAAATATATATTTCTCATTAATATGTGGACCAAAGATCATCAAACAGTTGACGAAGATATTTACCTTTGTATTTCTTAACATATCAAGGGCATCGTCGGTTGACCATATCCTACTACGGTTGTATGGATGTTGAATATCTTCCTCTCTAACAATGGCTCTTCCAAGATCTTTGATGTGATCGTGCATCCAAAAATGATTTCCTTCGTCAAGTTTCATCAACGATCTGTGGATAAGAGTGGTGATCCCACTTTCTGGATAGAAATCACAACCACTCCACATGTAGTAGATTAAATCTTTGTGGGTACCGACAAAAAAACAAGCTATGTCAAGGAAGATTTGTTTCTCATTGTGCGACAAATCGTTGTAACTTATCTTCAATCTCTCTTGCACCTTATTTTCGGTAGTAGAAGGTATTCCTTGTAACTCTATCAGCTTTTCTTCCCAAAATTTCCTCTCTCTACGAAACAAAAGTGATCCTATCACTTTAAGAGCTAAAGGAAGTCCAGCAGCAACTTTTACGAATTCCTCAGATATAGCAGAATCTTCCATTGGAGGACTGTCCATCCCAAAAGCATGTTTACTAAAAAGTTGCAAGGACAAAGGATGACTCATTTCTCCTATTTCATACAATTTACATTTTGGGAAGAAATCTAAAGCTCTTTTATATCTTGTTGTAAACATAAATCTGCTATCAAACGAAAAATCACCTAAACTTCCTATAATCTTATCAAATTCAAACCTACCATCTATATCATCAATAACAATAAGCACCTTGTGCTTGCAAACCCTTTCCTTTATCATGTTGATTCCTTCACTAACATTACTAACTTGATGATAATCCTTCTTCAAAATGCTCGAGATAAGCTTATTTTGTAAAGAAAGAGCTCCTTCGCTATTTGTCAATGTTTCCCGTACATCTTCCAAGAAACAAAAACGTTCAAATTGAGTGCAAATCTTGTTATAAACAGCTTTAGATAGAGTGGTTTTACCTAAACCACCCATGCCATGAATACCAACGACTTTCCCTATAGAAGAGGATGAATTCAATAATGTCATCACTTCTTCCACGTGACTATCGATTCCAACCAACTCATCAGTCACTAAGGTGTAAATGCCCCTCAAATGCAACTCAACTTCAGAAAGGATTTGTTCTATTATAGCTCCCTGACTGCAGCATCAATTGAAGGATTTTCAATGTACAGTATTAGGAAAGCATAGATAGTGAAAAGTAACAAAATATTACCATAGCTACATTAATAGAATATTACAAGTTATTAGGTGTAGGAGTAGCATTGTACAATATACTCGCATAAAGTTTTCATTTCAGCAACCTAAACCCAGTTGATGAACCACATGGATTTTCTGATTGTGAAGTAGCTACTTTGAGTATATTAGAGAGATAACAAGATGCAACCTAACAGATTGAGCAATACAGTATATCCAAAACAAATAAGCACCAACATCGTCAAAATCTAAGCATGTGTGTCCAATGTTACCTGTCGGATTCAGTGACATGCCATCCTTTCATTTGCCCAACCTCTTGAAGTGCTTCCTTCCATTCGTTCACAGTTTCGGGGCTATGTTTCTGGGCATGCTGTACAAAGGCTTCCTGATAAGAGCCATGTTGATGCCTCACATCTCTAGGGTCGACAAAATAGAAAATGGGAAGGATGAGGTGTCCCTTCTTTTGCTTCCAGCACCCCACCATTTGAGCCAATTCTTGAAGACACCATTTGCTGGAAGCGTACTGCTTGGTTAAAATAGGGATGTAGATCTTGGAATTGGGGATGGCCTGGACTAGGGAAGGGGCAATCCCTTCTCCCTTGCATAGCTCTTCCTCGTCCCTGAATGTGCGAATTTTGGAACGGTATAGAGAGGTGTAGAGATGATCGGCAAACGTTTTGCGAACGTCGGGACCCCGGAAGCTCAGGAAAACCTCGTACTCCCCGGCGGGAAGAGCAGACGGCAGCACAGAAGAAGAAGCGAGAATTGATTCCATTTCTCAAATCAAAGATGTGAAATACGGCCGCAATGATAGTAAATCGTTAATCGTAAGCCGCCGCAACAACGAACTAGAAGAACAGAATCTTTCACAGACGGAAAATTACACACACCTACAGTTGAAGGAGGCGAGTTTTCTTGAAGAAATTGATAGCGAATTTGGATCAGGATCTAGGTTCACTAGCTGTTCTTTCTTTTTGAAGAGTCTGGCTGCTTGGAGTTTGGGATGAGTCAAAATTGAACGGTAGAAAGGGAAGGGACGAGAAGTTGCAGAGAACTTTGACTAGGTGCTAAGCTGAGACCGGGCAGGAGTCCACGGTTTTGCTGGAAGGATAGACTTCCCCGGTTTTAGCTTCTTTTTTTATTTATTCAATATCCGGTTTTAAAATAATTATTATTAAATTTTATTTATTTATTTATTTATTCTACCACTAGTTGTTAAAAAGTGGGATTACTGTTTCGGAGGCTATAAAATTCAAGAAAATGAAAAATGCCATGAATCGTTTTCAATTGATTTTGGGCACTTATTCTTAATGGACTTAAGCTACAAAAATGAAAGCTATAACGAGCGGGCTCGGATAGAATAACAACACCCATTTTGTTGTTACTGTAACAACAAGGGTATAAGGTTAAAATTACAAGAAAATTAAAAAATAAAAGATAGAATAAAGAAGGAAGAAAAGCGTGTTTCTCTGTCTTTCTCTTCCGATCCCCAATCCTTCAGATCTCACTGTCTTCTTCGTTCGTTTCTTCTTTCTCCTAGTGCCGCCGTCGATCGATGCCAATCCAAACAACCAAGCACGGACGTCCCTGGAGAAGGTGGAAGAGGATCGAGGGTCGAAACAGTTGTCGATTTCGCCGGGCTGGCGGTCATTCACCCACGAGAACTCGCTGACGGAGTCGTGCATTAAGTGGAGCTTTGTTTTCAGAGTGCCGAAGCTGCGGCGACGAGGTAGTTTCCGCTGCCGAGGGAGCAGCTTGGCGACGACGAAGTCCAGCTTGGCGAACCATGGCCCTTTGAACACGAACGTGTCGCCGCTCTCTTTCACGACTCGATCGACGAAGCCGTGGAGATCGGTGGTTGCATTCCAAAGCAGGGCCGGAAGCATGCCCACCACCGGCCATTCGACGACGGAAGCGCTTTTGCTCTTGGATAGAAATGCTATCGAGCACCATAGAGATATGAAGAAGAGAAAAGATAGCAGCAAAATAGCTATGATCGACATTCTTCTTCTATGGCTTAGTTGATATTGAATGAGCAGGGGTCGTGGCTGTGGGAGATCTTCAATGGATCTGTTGATGTATATAATTGGTAGTGAGAGGTCTAGATTTGCCCAGAATTTACATTTGAAATTGGGGCCTGTAATTGGAAGGTTAATCCCTTTCTTTTTCGGGGATTTGTTTGCAGGCAGTAGTTTGGTCCACAACAAGCATTTAATTCTAGAGTTATGAAATCTACTTTCTTCTTCCGGTGATAGTATTTTGGGTTGGAGGTTAGGGGCAAGATTGCAATTATGTAGAAAATTGATATGATGTTGTGCTAATTGGAGTTGGGTGTTCTTTATTTGACAGAAATAATGTTTTTTTTTAGCTTTTGCCTATTGGAATTTCTGTTTATGCAAATAATTTTGTGACTTCTTTGCCTATAGAACGTTGTAATATGCTAAAATGAATTTACGACAAATGAAATCAGAATTATCTAAAAGTACCATAAATGTCCTGAAACATATGAAAAAATACCATAAATTTCTCAATACAAACCACGAATACAGTAAAACAATCCAAAAAAAGCATACCGTAAACTTTTTAATGCAGACCACAAGTCTTCTAAAATAAACTAGTAACCTCACAAAACAAACCAGAAACCCCACAAATCAAACCATAAAATTTTCGAAAGCACACCATAAACTTCTTAATGCAAACCACAAAAAACATACCAAAAACCTTCTAATGCAAACCACAAATTCTCTAAAACATACCAGAAACCGCACAAAGCAAACCACAAATATTTTGAAAGCACACCAGAAACATCATAATACAAACCATGAACAGTGTGCAAAGCAAACCACAAAAAACAAACTATAAACGTCCTAATGCAGACCACAAATATATTAAAACAAACCAGAAATCTCGCAAAGCAAACCACAAAAGTTTCGAAAGCACGCCAGAAACTTCTTAATGCAAACCAGAAACCTCCTAATGCATGCCACAAATCTCCTAAAACAAACCACAAACCTTACAAAGCAAACCACAACATTTGCGAAAGCACACCAGAAACCTCCTAATGCAAACCACAAACACAGTAAATCAAACCACAAAAAAGCAAACCATAAACGTCCTAATGCAGACCACAAATATATTAAAACAAACCAGAAACCTCACAATGCAAACCACAAAGTTTTTGAAAGCAAACCAGAAACTTCTCAATGCAAACCAGAAACACGATAAAGCAAACCATAAAAGGCATAAAAAAATATGAGAAACCAAACCATAAATCTCACAATGCTAACCATAACATCCAGTGATCGTTGACCATTGACCGGTCAACGAAGACCGTTGACCGGTCAACGAAGTTCGTTGACCGAACTCCGGTGACCGTCAGTGAGCATATTCCGACGTCGATAGGCATATTCCGACGTCGATAGGCATATTCCGGCCCCGATGACTAGATTCCGACGCTGGTAAGCATATTCCGACGCCGGTAAGCATATTCCGGCCACAAATAGTATATTCCGGCGACAAAAAGCATATTCCGGTGACCGGCGACCATTTTCCGGCGACTGGTGGCAGAATTCCAAAAAAATTTATTTTTTATTTTTTTATTTAAATAGATTTTTCATAATGACAATTATACCCCTGCTTTGATTTTACACTAGGTCAACTCATCTAATAAAAAGTCGTCACAATCCTAGCTCCCTATTGGTTGGGGACTAGTGTTGTTACAATAACAACACAATGGGTGTTGTTATAGTAACCGGTCCCATAACGAGCACTCAAAACACATTCTCCGTAACGACTGATCGGAGCCTGCTGGAAAATATGGCAATCATGATGAAAACCGCCGGCAATTCTACCGCAGATTTTTCCACTACACAATTCACGAATTACGCCGCGTGCTTCAACTGAGTAGACACTAGCCATTGATTGTAGAGAAGCATCCTACGCCGAGTAGAAGAACCGATGGCCGGCCACCAAAACTCGTGGCAAATCAACATGCCAATCTGCCAGAAAAAGACGGCCAGAGATAAGATGGATGGAAGAAATGCAGCTCTTCGGGGGAGCGAAAGAACAATCATTCATCATCCCATAGGAACAAATCCCGCGCGAATAAAGAGATGGCTAGCAAAGAGCCTCTGTTACAGTGCCAGATTCAAGCAAAATCAGTTTCACGAAACGAAAATAGAGCCAATGACGACATCGTAAGAGGGTAAATGTCATGAAAACTGTAACCGCTTCATGGTGAAATGGAACAATTTTAAAGCTCACAAGTTAATTCGTCCGCACTTTTAAGCGTCGAGACTGATAGAGCAGCAAAGCCTCCGCCCATCTCGGCAACCCACTTCCCCACTTCTCCCATTCTGTTTATATTCTGTTACATATTTGCAGGCACTCTGTTATGCCTTTTCCGTAGGTTTTGGTTCCTTTGTAACAGCTTTAAGCTGCTATATATATGTACACTTTTCACATAATGGAAACTAGGATTTCTGAGCTCTTTCATGGTATCAGAGCTTTATGCTTAACAGCCTATAGATCTAGGAACCTGAAAACTTTTTTTCCCCCCTTTCTTTCACCAGCTGGATGAGTCCAAACTCACCCGGTCTCTTCCTACTTCCGTAGATCAACCCCTGCATACTCCCAGCTAAAGCCTCCACCTTTCCAGCTTATCCACTCTCCTCCAATGGCTGCCACCTCTCTACCTGCTCCGAAGCTCCCTTTCTCTCCTACCCTCACCATCCCTCTATCTTCTTTCTTCCAGTTTTTGCTACTCTTTTCCCTGGCGGCCGCTGCAATCGCGCCCTATGTCTTCTTTCCTTTCTCGTCTCTAGCAATCCTCCTCCACCTAATTTCATCTCTTCCTACATCGTTCTCACTCCAAGTCATCCTAGGAGAGGCATCCGCAACAAGCTTCTCGCGTCGACCATCAAAATCCTTCCAGATCTGAGGTTCCCTAGCTCTTTCCTCTCCTTCTTCTTCATCATCCGGACAGTGTTTTAGTTTCGATCTCTCTCTCCCTATACTTTTCTTCTACCTTCCTCTCCCATCCGTTCCTCTGTTTGCTTCTCTTCTCGTAAGCTGCTGGCGGTAGCTCTTTTCTCTCCTATAACCGCTGCTGTTTCTGCCACTGACGAGCCTAGCACCGCTGTCGTTGTGTGCTCTCCGCTTCTTTGTCGCTACCATGCATCCCATCTCCAAGCCGGCCAATCTCATTCTTCTTCCCGACAAAATTAGAGTCATGTGCGACTATTCTTCTTCCTCGCAAAATCTCTTTTCCTTCTTCCCGACCTTCCCTCTTCAATCTCATCTTCCCCTTTCAATTCTCCTTTTTCCAGATTCCCATATAAGAAAACCAGATAATTCATTAGCCCTCCTCTGTTTTCTGCCTTCACTTGAAACCCCATTCTTCCTCCCTCCTTTCTTCTCTCCCCTCTTTACATTCTACTTTCTTGTCCTTTCCCCTTCTCAAATGGGCCACTATCGTAGCTCCAGAATCATACACACAGATACATTTGGCAACATATCAGTGACCAACCTTGCCGTCATAGACTCATCCAGAAATCGCCAAGCAGCAACTATGCGTTCATTAACTACCGGCACCGGCAGAACACTCAGATGGCATCACCCGGCTGGGGATCCTTGCATCTGCATCGAGAATTCTCCCGGTAGACAGTATGCCTCCAAGTCGATTTCCAAAAGGAAGCTGATCGCCCAGAAGCACCTTCCAGTTCAATCGTTTCTGCTCCAAGTTTCACCTCTCCAAGGTTCCACTTGCGGGGGCGTGATAGAGCAGCAAAGCCTCCGCCCATCTCGGCAACCCACTTCCCCACTTCTCCCATTCTGTTTATATTTTGTTACATATTTGCAGGCAGTCTGTTATGCCTTTTCCGTAGGTTTTGGTTCCTTTGTAACAGCTTTAAGCTGCTATATATATGTACACTTTTCACATAATGGAAACTAGGATTTCTGAGCTCTTTCAGAGACGATCTTCCTTTATTTATGTTCACCATGATCCGACTTTTACGGTGTAAAGAAGAAAGAAAGAAAAAAAAAATATATACAGCTTTATGATTACAACAGGATTGTGAGAGAGATCAAAGACAATTACTTCTTGATACAAATTGTCCAAGTAATCATCCTTCCTCTCTTCACAAATGTCGCTTGACTTCTTCAATCTGATCGGGATCGAATCTATATGCATTGCTCACCATCAGTCAATTCTCATGGAAATTTTGGAAGCAACTCCAATGCATACTTCTATAGCTTTATAGCTTTTTGCTTGCAGCTTATCCAAATTCCTTCACTGTGTGCAAAGTGAAACAGAATTTCACAACTGAATTAGCAATAACAGCAACACACTAAAAGCCCAAAACTGCATTAATCAATCAATTACTCGTTCTTTACTTTTAAATGCCAAGTAACCTAGAGGTCCTAAATTCGAATCTCTAAACAACAAAAGTAAACATATATCACCATTATTAAAAAAATACAGAAATAGTATAGATTAAGCATAAGAGTTGACTATGTTAATAACAAAACCCAGAGGAAAAATGAGAATATTCATTATGAATCGAGTAGAAGAGACATCACTTTGTCAAGCTTATTAAACACCACAATAACAAGATCCAAACTGTGTCTTTCCTGTTGCGGTAATCATTATCAAATCAAGAACATAGGGGGGAAAACTAACATAAGATGGTGATGAGGTTTTGCTAAGAGAGATAAGAGCACAGTGGCTCAAACAATCATAAATTGAACTCGAGGAAACTAAACTTACAAAATCGCTAGTTCAATCACAAACTTAGGTATGATGTTTTCAGGAATTCGCACTTCCACTTGTGCAATTACTTCCAGATCCACATAATGAATGTATTGTGCACGCTATGTGTCTTGGCATTTGGTTGCTCATTCTCCTCTACTCTATCGTACTGAAGAATATTGAGAGATAAACTTAAACCACCCAGACTTATGGTAGAAAAATACAACATCAACCACTACTTAAACTCCTAAATAGTGTGTTAGTGAGAATGATTATGACAACACATACACCAAGCTACAAATCAATAAGACTAGAACAAACTCAGTTACTTTTGAAAGGAAAGAATGACAAAATTTTAGTAAAACAACGAAATTATGACCATGTTTTTGCACACTGATCTGAGAGGTCAAGTTTAACTAATGGAATGTGGACAACATAAAACAAAGTTATATAAGCAAATTCATAGAGATTAAAGCCAAATCTGGAAGTTAAGAAGGAGCCCTGGATAATTGCTGCCAACAGAGAAGAGGAACTCATGTCCTCAAAATGAGGGGTTGAATCAACATACAGAAAGAGCTTATCGGGCTTGAATCGACTCCCTGAGACATGAAAAGTCATTCCTGTGATAATACCTTCAAATCTTTGTTCTTCGTCTTATGGGAAGGATTAAGGTGTCTCTTCAAATTGAGGATGCAGGTGACACAAAATTCTTCTAGATTAATCAAAAAGATCATTCTAGATTTTAAGGGCAAGAATACCAGTACCTTGACAATTTTTAGGTGAACTCGCAACTCATCCACTTCTTAAAGACCAAATCCTGCCATTGATTGATGTATCTCTTCCAGAGTCTTATTATCTCTGTCTTCCATTGATATTGAGTGGTGACTTTCTGTCTTGAAACTTAGTACCTCAGCCTCCTCTAGTTGGAGATTTTCCTCATCGCTTTGGTTGGACGTCTACAAAAAGCATCAGTCAATATATAAAAGTCAATCCCCAGCAATTTTCAGTGGGAGCAATCTTCTTTTGTCATAGCTTGACAGTCAAGATGATCACTTGGTTTGTCTTTGTTTTTTTCTAAACACGAGTTTCAATAGTTAATAAAAGAGTTGGACAGAAACACGGTAGTCATACTGATAAAATTACATATATTCGATTAACATGCAAAAGAATACGAGTAGATTCAAAGAAGAAAATACGTCCGTGGTTGTAGAAATACTGAACCATAGATGAAAATAAGAGATTGAAAATCAATCGTAAACTCACAATGTGATGCTAATCCAAAAAGCATACAGATTTATTACGTAATTTATTAACAGAGTGTAAGAGGATGACCATGTGATAGCTAATATAAGAGGCTTAGTCATGCAATGAATAAGACAATTCATAACAGAATTGAGAAGCTATACTAAATAGTTAATACCATTGCCTTCGAGCTGTTCAAATCAGGAGAATGAGAAATCCTACAGTTAAAAAAGGATTCTCAAGTCAACTTGCGTAAGCTTCATCATCTCAGGCTAGAGCTAAAGATTCAAATGTACTTGATGACAACACTTGATCCGGCAATTGAATAAATCAACAACTAAAACTCTCCAGCAACTGCTTAGGAGCTAAAGATAAAGCACATAAGAAAGAATTTGTTTACCCTTGTAGGAGCTGTCTTTCTTTTGCAATCTCTTCAAAACGATATTGTATTGGGACCCTTGGGCCAATCAGATTGTTGATTATGAGCTTTTGAGGAGCCCAATCGATATCCAGATGCCCGCTGCAGCTAGGCCTTCAGAGGAACCCAATGGACAGCATGAATTTGCATTAGATGGAGGGAGTATCTTTAGGAGTCAGAGGCTAGCTATTGTGAAGTCAGTGAATCGAAAATGAAGAGCAGTCATGCACAGGCGTGGGGCTCCAAAGGTGAGTTTGGGGACTCCTCCGGCTCTTGCCCAGCCGCCAGTCACATCATTGGAGGGGAAGTGCGGAAAAGAGAAGGAAATGACGGGGAAAGGAGGCAATCTCAAACGGAAAAAGAAGGTGCACAGGGGCTAATAATAATTATTATTCAACATCTTCAAAAGTTTGAAATCCATGGCAGCAAAACCAAAAGTATACAGTAATATACGTGATCAGAAAAATAAAACCAAAAGTATGCACACGAAGTGAGTAAACAGATTAGCCATCTATCTGGATTGTAAAAGCTAATGGGAAGGTAAGAACTAAATACCATAGCAAATTCTTTGTCAAGCAAGTGAGCGGTTCTTACAAAGTTCCACAGGAAACAAAAGAATAAGCCATGAGCTGCTCATTCCCAATGTTGAACCCTTCGGCAATGAAACCCCAATACGCCTTTGGTCTGGCAACTTCTTATCCAGAGTTCCTTTTCTCTTATCCATGGCAACTCACAACATTTTTTTCTCATATTATGTTAAAGCAATTGTCAAACCAAAATAGAACAGAACACAGAGAGACGGGTGGCTAGGTAGGACTACTGCCATCAGCAGCTCCTGCAAACCCCAAAATGAACCGTGAAGCTAGTCCCTTGCCATATCTAGCAGCCGACTTCGCCAAATACTTCACTCTCATCCTTTTCTCCATGTCCAGGATCTGTAACCCATCCAGCTCCTCGAGTCCATTCACCTTGGTCAATTTTGTGCATCCCTCAATATCAAGTTGCTTCAATTTCTTAAGACCAGACAGATTTCCCAACTCCTTTATTGACGTGCAACCACACATCCGCAGCGATGTTAACGAAGCCAATCCCTCCACCCCCTTGACCTCAGTCAATGCTATGCAAGAGTTAAGGTCCAATGTCTCCAAACTCTTGAGGCCAGATAAGTTTAGCAGCCTCGTAATGGACCTACAATTAGGCATCAGTAGCTGTTGCAACGACTCCAATCCTTCTATGCCAGTGGGGGGGTCGATCAAGCTTTCGCAATATGTGAGGTCTAATGTCTTGAGATTGCTCAGCCCAGACATATCCGGTAGATGTCGAATCGAAGTGCAACCCTCCAAACTCAGTAATTCTAACGACACCAACCTCTCCAACCCGGTTAACTCAGTCAAGTGGGGGGAGTATAAAATGCTCAATCGTTTCAGATTAATAAGACCAGATAGGTCAGGAGATGGTTTCCCTCCAAATGATTGTTGGTTAAGAGTCAAATCCTCCAATCCTCCCAGAAGTTGAAGTAGTCCATCTAAGTTTGCCAATCTGTAACAGCTGTTAATTGTCAGACGAGATAAAGATTCCCCAATCTCACCAATGCCTTGGATTTGTACGAGATTCGGACACTGGCAAACCTCCAAATCCTTTAACTTCATCAAATTTGCCAAACTCGGCAGCCTCTGCAGCACAGTGCAGCTCCCCACGGACATGGTCGTGAGGAGGAGCAGGTTCTCAAGTCCTTTGAGATTCTTCAAATTTGGGAAATTGGATATCTCCATAGTTTTCAATGCCCTCAGCTCTCCAAGGCCCCGAATCTCGACCACCCCGATATGCATGAGCGTGAGTTGGGTCAGGTTGCGCAGATTAGCGATGCTCGGGAGTTCACTCAAGGGCCCAGAATACTTCTCATAAATCAGATTCAATTCGTCGAAGCTGAGCACAGCAAATATGTGTCTAGGAATCGAAGGAATACTACCACTAAGGTAGCTTAGGGACTCCAACGACGTGAGCTCTAGCAGGTTTGGAACCCCATTAGAAGATGAGATTGTTAACCTCTTCAAACTCCTCGGTAGTCTGGGTATCTCAATCTGGTGCCCCCGGTATCGTGACTCTAACAACAGGATTTTGAGAGAGGATATGTTATCCATCCCAGCAGGCAATTCTGTCATAAGGGTAAACCTCAAGTCCATCTCCTCCAGTCGTTGAAGCTTTCCCATGTCATTACCCCTAATGATTAACCCTGTTATTTTGGTCCAACGGAGCCTCAACGTTTTCAGATTCTTGAAATTGCCGATGTGCAGTTGTCCTTCCATTCTGCCACTTTCCTCAAAGTTTATCAACTCTAGACTTGCGCATGGGGACAAGTCAGGAGCTCTTGTCAGCTGAGAGCACCTGGGTAAATTTACAGCTTTCAGCTTTGCTGCTGCCTGTGGTTCATAATACAACCATTACAAATTCCATCATCTTCTTATAAATGTGACATGATATGCACAATTATTTATTATATGCCGGTAATTAATCCATAAGGGCTGAACCGATCAAATATATATATATGGAAAAAAACAAAACAGGAAATAGATTTTACCTTTATTCGGTTCCAACCCTTCCAGTTATCTTTCACATCACATTCCTCCAAATCAAGAACTGTCAATTTCTTTGTGTAAATATCAGTTGGGATTGATTCACAATGTAACAGTCGAAGGCAACATAGATTTGGAAGAACCTGGCTGAAATCTCCTATCACACTTCCATATCCCACCTCCAGATATCTTAAACCTGATAAGTTCTTAAAGTCCTTGCTTTTAAGCAGCTTTTCATGAACATCCCTAGAATTCATATCCAGCCTAAGAACTTCCACTTGTTCGCTTCCCTGAAAACAAAACATGAAAAGAAATTAGTGACCAACCTTTTCTCGTTAATATGCTAACCAAATATCACCTAACTGTGAGAAAAGTATTTACCCTTCCATTTCTAAACATGTTCAGGGCATCATCGATAGACCATATCCTGCTACGGTTGTATGGATGATGAATATCTTCCTCTTTAACAATGGCTCTCCCAAGATCTTTGATGTGATCGTGCATCCAAAAATGATTTCCACCATCAAGTTTTATCAAGGATCTGTGGATAAGAGTGTCGATCCCGCTTTCTGGATAAAAATCACAACCACTCCACATGTAATACGGTAAATCTATATGGCTGCCGATAAAAAAACAAGCAATGTCAAGGAAGATTTGCTTTTCATTGTGCGTCAACTCGTTGTAGCTAATCTTCAATCTCTCCTGCACCTTATTCTCGGTAGTAGAAGGTATCCCTTGTAACTCCATCAACTTTTCTTCCCAAAATTTCCTCTCTCTACGAAACAATAGTGAGCCTATCACCTTGAGAGCTAATGGAAGTCCAGCAGCAACTTTTACGAATTCCTCCGATATAGATGCATCTTTCTCTGGAGGATTGTCCATCCCAAAAGCATGTTTGCTAAAAAGTTGCAGGGAAAGAGGATGACTCATTTCTTCTGGTTCATATAATTTACATTCTGGAAAAAAATCTAAAGCTCTTTTATATCTTGTTGTAAATATAAATCTACTATCTAACGAAAAATCACCTAAGTTTCCTAGAATCATATCAAATTCAAACTTGTCATCTATATCATCAATAACAACAAGCACCTTATGCTTGCAAACCCTTTCCTTTATCATGTTGATTCCTTCACTAACATTGCTGACTTGATAATTATCCTTCTTCAAAATGCAAGAGATGAGCTTATTTTGCAAACATAGAGCTCCTTCACTCTTTGTCAACGTTTCCCGTACATTGTCCAAGAAACAACAACGATCAAATTGAGTGTAAATCTTGTTATAGACAGCTTTGGACAATGTAGTTTTACCTAGACCACCCATGCCATAAATGCCAATGACTTTCCCCTTGGAGGAGGGCAAATTCAATAATGTCACCACTTCTTCTACACGACTATCGATTCCCACCAACTCATCAGTCACTAATGTGTAAATGCTCTTCAAATGCAGCTCAACTTCAGAAAGGATTTGCTCTATTAGAGCTCCCTGACTGCAGCATCAATGGTAAAGGTTGTCAAGAAACACTATTAAGCAAGCAAATATAGTGATCTAACCGTACGTACAATTATAATTAATTAGGAACAGTGTAGTTGTTGAACTAGAAGGTGCTTTATGCTATTTACCCTCGTGGATTACAATTTCTAAGGGGACGAGTGGCGTTGTACATTATAACACAGAAACCCTTTGATCCGGGGAACCTAAACACACTTGATGAACCACATAAATTTATATGTGGAGTGCAATAGCTTCTTTGTGTTTATTCGGAGAAATACCAAGATGTAAACCTAACAGATTGAGCAATGCATAATTTCCAAAAGTAAATAACACCAAATTTAAGCATGTGGTGGATGTTACCTGTCGGATTCAGTGACATGCCATCCTTTCATTTGCCCAATCTCTTGAAGTGCTTCCTTCCATTTTCCCACAGTTTCAGGACTATGTTTCTGGGTGTGCTGTTGAAAGGCTTCTTGATAAGGACCATGTTGATGCCTCACATCTCTAGGGTCTACAAAGTAGAAAATGGGGAGGATGAGGTGTCCCTTGTTTTGATTCCAGCATTCCACCATCTGAGCCAATTCTTGAAGGCACCATTTGCTGGAAGCATACTGTTTGGTTAAGATAGGGATGTAAATCTTGGACTCCGGGATGGCACGGATTAGGGAAGGTGCAATCCCGTCTCCCTTCCGAAGCTCTTCCTCGTCCCTAAACGTGCGAATTTTGGCACGCGACAGGGAGGTGTAGAGATGATCCGCAAACGTATTGCGAACGTCGGGGCCCCTAAAGCTCAAGAAAACCTCGTACTCCCCGGCTGGAAGACCAGACGGCGGCGCGGAAGAAGCGAGGACGGATTCCATTTCTCGCTGCCCGACGGATGGATGATTCGAAGTTACTAAGCACCGAAGGGTAAATCACGAATCAAAAACCTGAAAGGCCGCCGCAATTGAAATTAAGCAGCCGTTGCAACGAAGCTAAGAGAACTGAATCTTTGAAAGACAGAAAGATACAGGTACCTACAGTTGGAGCAGTGTGGCTGCTTGGAGGATGATGATGTATAATTTCGATTGTGATCTCAGCTTGCGAGCTATTCTTTCCTTTTGAAGAGTGTGGCTGCTTGGAGTTTGGGATGATATAGAATTGAACGGAAGGAAAGAAGAAAGGGGCGAGAAGCTGCAGCGAACAACTTGGACTAGTTGCTAAGCTGGGGAAGGACGAAGGAGTCCACGGTAATGCTGGAACTAGGATACCGTCTCCGGATTTAGCTTCTCGAAGACTGGAACTAGTACAGGGTGAACAAAGTGACCCGGAACCCGACCCACCCGTGCCACCCAACCCGAAACCCGAGCAAAACTAAGGGCATATTTGGAGGTTGTGATTGTGTAAATTGATGGGTTCAATGAATTGGTGTATTGTAATTATATGTATTGTGCAAATTAATGTATTTCTCAAATACATTGTTTGGTATCTACGATTCTACTTTTTATAAATTAAAAAGCAACACACCTTTTTGAAGAAAAATACACATTTACCCTTCAACGTTTTGTTCTTGCAATGAAAGAAGAAAAAAAAAAAAGCAAAGAATTATCGTCGTCTCGCCGCTACCACATTGTTGCCGCTAGAATTGCAGAAACTTCAAAGCTTCCTCGATTTCAAAAATCAACTCCAGCCATCACAATTAATAACTTTCCCTTATATCCCTCTCAACTCAAATCCCCGCCAAGAAATCAATTACCAATTAGCACCATCCCCTCTAAACTCGAAACCCCACAAGAAAAGGAAGTGCGCTGGTCCCTGTTTCAGACAATATTAAAGAAGAATTGGGTGGAGGGGGAAATCCATAATTCTCTATACGAGTTGGATCTACCATCTAATTCAAGATCCCCCTGGGCCAATCTTCTGAAAACCCTAAGAGATATGAAGAGAAAAAGAAAGGCGAGGGCATGGTGCTGGGTTTGTGAGGTAGTAATTCGCAACAGAAGTCAGCTCTTCTTCTTCAATTCTCGACGAATTTCGATGGCGAGATACAGCTACCAAGCCGATTCCGTGATGATGGTGAGGAGGCAGCGATTCCTGTGGGACTTCAAGGATTAGCATGGACTGAGGAGCAGGGGAGTTCAATGATTTTTCTTTTGGTGGACTTCCGACGACTATCGTCAAGGGAGGAGCAGGGAAGTTTTCTCCCTTTTTTGGCTTTCGTAGAATTTTGATGACAAGGATAGAAGAGTAGTGGAGGATGGGGTTATTGTTGGTATAAAGAAAATATAGTAGGGACAAAAATGTAATAAAAAGATATGACACAATCCTTTGTTTAGAATCTCAACTTTAGGTAGAGATTCACAATAATCCATTTTGAGGGATTGTGAGTGGGCCCCAAAAAGGTAATGAATGTATTCTCTTACAAATTTGACCAAAAAAACGACTTAATCTTCTCAATGCATGTATTGGCTAAATCCTTCATCTGAAATCCTAACCTCCAAACGATCCCTAAATCCAATTGTTGGATGAGGGTTCTGGAATGATGACCCAGCGACTGTATGGGTTGGTTCCGGGTTTAGGGTTCTAAAACCCGAGCAACCGGAACCAACCCAATATATAAGCCACCGTTGGCCGTTGGGAGATTGCGGCGCCGCAAACGGCAGACCTTCATCTACTGGAATCTCAAACGTTGGGCTTATTTGTTCTTTGGAAAACAAAACAATGAAACCAGAAAGGAGATGGGATGGCGATTTGGGTGGAGACTGAATTGGGAATGATATGGAACCGCGACCACCACGATCGAAACTAGGGGTGTTCAAACGGATTGGTTATCGTGGTAATCATATTAACTGGTAGCATTCGGTTAATTTGTTTTGATTAATTTGGATAATTGGTTTGGTTAAACAATTTAGCTTATTTGGTTTAGGTGGTTTGATTTGGTTTCAACACTGCTAACCAATGAAACCAATTAACCAATTAATGATACACCTAATATACATAATTATTTATACTTCCATGCAACTAACCAAACCAAACTTTCGTGATTCTCTATTATTTTTCCATGTGCACAACAAACCAAAACATTATGGGTCAAAAACTAAATGGGTTTGCCTATTTACTAAACCAATACATTTTGGACAGCTACTAGTATTTTGGATTACGTACAATACCATAACAACCACCTCAAACTATGTATCGTTTAAGTGTTTTGTTAGAGAGCTTGAACCTCCTGATGAGTGGTATTGGTATGTATTTATCTTAAGGGGTTTGTTGTAGGCTAACTAAATTAGATGCAGAGATGATGAATGATGTATTAACTCGAATGATGATGATAATCATGGATGGTTAGTCTTATTATTATTGCTTATATATAATGATAGTTTATGATAGAAACAACATATGGTTATCTTTTATTCATTAACATGATAATTGTTTTCATGTAATGTAATGTTATTTGGTTAATTCGATTATCCGATTAACCAAACCAATTAAACTTTGGTTTGGTTAATTTATTTTTCGTATTAATTTGGACGGTTTGATTAAGAAAATTTATTCCATGGTTAATAAAATTTAGCCTTAATTGATTTGGTTATTACCATTATAACCATTTGAACACCCCTAATCGAATTCGAAACTAGGCGAGCAGTGGTGATTCGGAAGTTGGCGTACTAGTGGGGTGAAGCTTTACCTATTCCTTTTTTTTTGGTTTGGGAAGAACTTTTTACTTTAATTTATTTTTCCTTTGTGGGGAGTGTGATAGAACAATTTCGCTATGGTACACACACAGAAATCTGTGTGCACCAACTCACAAGCCAGGGGGAGGGCCACGTCGCCCAAGCCAACAACGGAGGGCCAGGATTGAACAGCTGGGACACGGGCTCGGGGAAGTGGAGGAGCCGAAAATGAGCTGTGGGGAAGCCGAGCTGAAGGTGGTGGTGGGGCCGAGAAGTGAGAGACAGGTGGGGTCTGGGCAAACTTTTGGGTGTTTTGGCGGGATTTTTGGTGAAAAAGCCAGCCCCAAAAAACCCTTTCATTAATTCCACCCACCTACCAACCTCTCTCTCTCAATCTCACAGGTCACAGCTCTCTTCTTTTTCTTCCTCATCTCTTCTCTTCGTCCGCCTTGCCGCCATTGAAGACGAGCATCCAGAGAAAAACGCAAGAAGGGGCGGTCTGGTGCAAGATCGATCTTTCGAAGAGAAGAAGGAGATGCAAGAAAGGGAAGATAGTGTGTCGAAGATGGGGGATGATGTCGAAGGAGATGTCGCACCAAAAGAGGAGGTCCACTTTGAAGATCTGTCGACTGAAAACAATAAAGGTTATGTCAAAGGAGACAGACCAGGAGATGAGGACCTTGCTTATACCATCATCAAAGTGGATGGTTTATCTGATGGTTTGTGGGGCTCGCAAGAGTGGATGGCCGCAGTTGATGAAATAGAAGGGGGTATGTGAAGACCAAAAAAACAGATCATATCCATTTAGACTTATATATGTTTTGGTTGTTGATTAGCATTGAATGTGTTAGGTGTGTTAGGGTTTACATTTATGGTGCTTGCATTTATTATGTTTTAGGGTTTCTTGCATGGTGTTCAGAGCTTGCATGAATACTTGGTCGTTCTATCCTGAATATCCCTGGTGGAGGAACATAAACATGACTATCGCTTGCATGAATACTAGTTAGCCCTAATGACCATATTACTTTTTAAATTTCATGAATATTACTTTTACGTCATCGAATATTAGTTGGTACTTATTCATCTTCAATATGCATCTTCAAAAGAATACTGAAGATGAATACGCTTTATCATTATAAGAATATTCGTTCACCATCTAATGAATACAACTTAATCTTCAAAAGAATATTCGTTTACATTCTAATTAATACGCCTTCATCTTTAGAAGAATATTCGTTGACATTCTAATGAATATTGGTTGACATTCTAACGAATATTCGTTGACATTGTAAAGAATATTCGTTGAGATTGTAATCAATATTAGTGTGGAGATTGTAATGAATATTCGTTCAGATTGTCATGAATATTTGTTGAGATTGTAATGAATATTCGTTGAAATTGTAATGAATATTTGTTGAGATTGTCATGAATACTAGGTGACCTTGTAACAAATATTTAGTGAAATTGTAATGAATATTTTTTGAGATTGTAATGAATACTAGGCGACCTTGTATTGAATGCTTTTATTGGTTGGATTTGACTAATTGTATTCATTTGTGCAATTCTAATGACAGGCTATGCAGCACTAGAAGATGAGTGCTTAATGAAGAACTTGCAATTCAATACAGTAGATGATTGCAAGCGCTTCTATTCAAGATATGGTCATGACCGAGGTTTTGGTGTTCGAGTATACAACGAACAAACGAGGTTGCGCAAGAACAACAAGGGAGAGCTTGAGGAAAAGTATTGGTACCTTTACTATTGTTGCAACAAACAAGGCTTTTCGAAGGTGAGTACTAAAAATCCAAAGGTCATTAAGAAACGACCGGAGGATAGTGTCATTGTTAAAATCCAGCGTAAAAGAAAAAGAAACGAGTTAAGGGTTGGGTGTATAGCTCATGTTGCCTTTCGGTAGGATGTCGATAGGAATGCATTCGTGGTTAGTCATATCAACAATATACACAATCATGAACTGCACGCAAAGGAGCATGCGCAGTTTTTGAGGTCTAACAAAAGTGTTAGTGAGGCTGAAGGTTTGATGGTTGAAGCCAATGCGGATGCTGGTGTTAGTTTGAGCTCTTCTTACAAGCTACTTGCTATGTGTGCTGGTGGTTAAGAAAATCTTAACTTCTCGAAGAATGACCAAAAGAACCATCTGAACAAGCGAAGACAGAAGAACATGGCACATGGTGAAGCAACTTTTTTGTTGGGGTACTTTCAGAAGCAAATGGAAATCAAACCTGGATTTTATTATTCCGTGGAAGTTGATTGTGATGAGTAAGTTGCTAACATATTCTAGTCGGATGCCCAGATGCTGGCTGATTATAAATTGTTTGGTGACTCGATTTCTTTCGACACAACTTACCGTACGAACAAAACCTATCGCCCATTGGGTACGTGTTTTCTTCTGTTGTTTGCATATGATTTTCTATTCAAATACATTTTGTGATAGTCATGATAGCTTGAATACTCATCCGAATTTTTTGAATACTAGTCTGGAATGTATGAATATTACCATGGACGGTGACAATAATGAACTTGTAAAAATGTGTTATGTAGGAATGTTTGTTGGTTTCAACCACCACCGATAGACTTGCATATTTGGGGCATGTTTGTTGTATGACGAGACTAGTGCATCTTTTGAGTGGTTGTTTGATGCGTTTCGTCGTTGC